GTTTCACTGGAACGGCGGCTTCACATTTCGTAAGGAAGAGATGAGGAAAAATACACAATTTTAAAATCCAAAACACAAAAAACGAACCGGATGTATATCGGCGACGGTCTTTGCTGGTGTCTTGGATGAGTCTTTACCGTACAGAGGACAATTCTTATTGGTTTTCATATGACCCGTTCCATGACATGCGCTACAACGCATCTTCAGCAAATTCGGCTTTATCGGCACTGGTTTCTTCTCAGCCGCCGGTTTCGCCTGCAGATTGAACGCATATTTGAAAAATTCGAATGGAGAGAGGAAACTAAAAGTTGATGATGTGAAAACGTTGATGTACCTCTCCACTAGAACTTCCTACTCACACAAAAACAAAAACAAAAGTTGTGATTTTTAGAAGTGCACTGAACAATCTGATGCAAATACAAACGAGTAAATATACCCGGTTGATTGGTTGTCCAATGGGCACACCATGGAGTTTTGCTTTCAGTTCATTGCGACGAATCCTTCGCAGTTGATCTTGTAATCGCCTTTTCTCCTTCCGTCTTTCCTATAACAACGATACATCTTACGAAACAACATTTGTGACAAATAACACAACGATCAGTTGATTGAACAACATTAAATGTAAATATTTCTCGAAAGCAAATATTCATTCCATACGACACGTCACTAATAAACCTTACAAGTTTCTGCTTTTCGTCTGATGGTTCTTCTTTAAGTCGCTATTCGACAGCAGTCTCTTTCCGAAACATCAAGCGTTGATAATAAAGGAAAGCGCAAAAGACTTCAGATAAAACCTCTTTATACTGCTCATCCATTTGTGCATAAACCTGTATGAATGTGTTATCACGAGTGGTTCGAATACGAACGTATGCTTCGATTAACTGCGGTCTTGTGATCACTTCAACCCGTGTCTGAAGATCGTTTAACATTCATGAAACGAAGAAGCAGAGTATTGATGCTTTATTCCACTGCTTATCTTCAAGTGAAACTCATCGGAGTGAATGAGAGAACAAATTTTCAGATCGGTATTGCATTGAACGAAACGAACCGATTCCACTCCATCGGGACCCTTGAATGTGCGATAGATTTTCAGTTTGCGTGGTCCATTACCACTCAACATACCGTGATTCGAATCCTCGTTTGCTACTGATGGTTCTTTAACTGTAATGTTGGCAATAGAGCAATAACAATGACAATCACCTAACAATAACAACAACAATCAAAACAATAATACAGTTACGATGTAGCA